AGCAGGGAGCCCGATGCGGGACTCGATCCCGGGACTCCAGGATCATGACCTGAGCCGAAGGCAGTTGCTTAACCAACTGAGCCACCCAGGCGCCCTCTTTTTAGGACTTTGCCATGAGATCGTCAAGGAGCCTCTGTGCCCTGTAAGACTTCACAGACTCTCCTTGTTGTTGCAAAGCACCATGAGGAATCTGCTGTGGAAGATGTGATCTGTAAAGCCACGTGACCGGGCTCACCCAGACGACAGTGTGTCCCAGTTCATCGAAAATGGAAGAATGAGGGGCGTGGGTGGCTCAGTCCGTTAAGCATCAGACTCTTGGTTTCAGCACTGGTCATGATCTCACAGGTTGTGGGATCGAGCCCTGCATCAGTCTGCACACTCAGTGCGGAGTCTGCTTGAGGTTCTCTCCACTGCCTCTCCCACCAGTCAAATGAATCTTTTTTTTTTTTTTCAAGGAGTAGAGAACATTTATTTGTAACTCATTTTATGAGGCCAGCATAACCCCGATACAAAAATATAACAAGAAAATTACAGTCGTTCTTTTAACAGACACACAAATCAGAGCAAAATATTAGAAAACCAAACCCAGAGAATATGTTACAAGGATAATATGTCGTGATCAGATTGGCTTATTCTAGGAATTTAAAAAATGGTTTGAATCAAAGAAATCTCTTTAAAAAAAAAAAAGTGGAAGAATAAGGTCAAGGTACCCTTCCCTCAAGACCCCTCTCTGTACTTAGTGTGATGCCCCAGCTCGTGTGCAGAGACAGATCAAGAACGCCGATGTCCGTGTGGGCAAAATGAGTAGAAATGGGGCGTTTAATCATTTCTTTTCCTCTCCCAGTGGTTTGTCCTATGCCCCCCTCCACCCCTCCATCTAGAAGATCCTAGTTCTAAAATCTTGTAAGCAGGGATTTTTTTTTCTTCAGCTCCTCAGCGACCTCAATGTCTGCCCCAAGTAGCCCTTGAGGGCCTGAGGGGTGGCCGCTGAGGATATTCACTAAGGAATTCTGGACCTTTTTTATTCTCTTTAAGTTACTATAATTTTAGAAGCACAGCTTTCCTGGAGAAAGGACCCATTGGTTTATTTTTTTGGAACTCTTTTCTGAACTGTGTTGATAACTTCTGAAGAATATAGAAACAGGTTGTATAGGTCTCGGGTAATAAAATCACGATTCATCAAAACCTCTCTCTCGACCTTGGTTTTTTTTACTCATCCCAGCTTTTAGTATATATGTATATCTCATACCTGAGATTCCCATATGTGCCCGCCCTTTCTTTTTTTTTTTTGAAAGATTTTATTTATTTGACAGAGAGAGAGAGTGAGAGAGGGAACACAAGCAAGGGGAGTGGGAGAGGGAGAAGCAGGCTTCCCGCGGATCAGGGAGCCCGATGCAGGGCTCGATCCCAGGACCCTGGATCATGACCTGAGCCGAAGGCAGACGCTTAACGACTGAGCCACCCAGGCGCCCCTGCCCATATGTGCCCTTTTAAAACACATTAATAGCAAAAGATAAATTCTGTCTTCTAGTCAAGTGGGGGGGGGGCTGTACTTCCTGTAATTTGAATTTTAAGTTGCTTTTTTTTTTTTTGCTAAATACAAAACCATGATGTTCCTTATGATCTTGAAATCACATCTGTCCTCCATCTCCCTCTGTCCATTTTCTGATGCTTGCCCCCCGCTCTTAAAAATCAGTGACGTAGAGAAAGATAGTTTTCATGGTATCTGAACTATACGTTACTCCCACATGCCCCACATTAAACGTCAGCATTTCTGTGTCTTGCTATTGTTTTAACATTTGGTCTTCTGCCTGGGGAGTGGGCGGTGCTCTGTAAGCTGCTTCTACTCAAGCCTCAGCAGAGAAAAGCAATATTTTGTTATGAGGTAGAGTTTCAAGCCAGGCTTTGGCCAGGGTCTTTCCCATTTGGGAGGAGGAAAGTAGAAACAGCCAGCGAGACGATAATTCTCCTTGAATTTTAGCTCATTAAAATCTTCCTTGCTCCTTAGTGAGTTACTTATTGATTTAAGCATCTAGCAGTTTTCCTCTCCAGAAAGAATTAGCATCTCCAATGTGATCATTGCTAATGGCGGAGACCTTTGTCTTTTCTCTGTGGGATCAACTGTCCTCCAGTTGCTTATTAGCACAGCCCACTTTGGGGTTGTGTTTAAACACAGAGTTGCGGAGTCGGAATGAGATCCTGAGATTTATAGGTAATGAAAAGAACAGGTTGTATCAAAGGCACCACGTGTAGGAAACTAAGTGTTCTTAGGGGACTTGTGTGAACCTCTGATCCTTGGCTTTTTCCAAAATGAATGTTTCAGTCTTGTACATATTAACTTCCTCTTTATAGAAGTTTTAACATGTTCTGTTTTTGCTGCTATTGTGCGTGAAAATGTAGCGCCATGGCGTTTCTTATCTGCTGATCGTTTCCAACAAGAGTTAAACATTGAGTTTCTCTTGAGGCTTAAACTGTGGTTGAGGATCTGCAGTATCAGTACATGAAGAAGTACATGTTTTTATTCAGATGTTTAAAATCCTCTTTCCTTAAGAACACTTTTCGCCCCTAAATACGACATCACCCAAAAATCTCGCTGCTTTTCACATCTGTCTGTGGAGAACGTGTGACATGAACTGCACCAGGGTGCTGGTGATGTTAGCGGTAAACTTCTGAATTCTGTTTCATAGTGTTGTGGTCCCACAGCATAAAAAAAAAGATGGTTGTTTTGGTAGGGACTTCTCTTCTTTTTAATGTGATTAGTGCAGTTGATTTACTGTGACACCATTTCAGTGTATTCTTCCTGGGCCTTAATGAAGTACGATAGAGAAAAGCAGTGAGCACTGTTTGGCTCATTAGTGGGACCCAGCAAATGTTAATTCCCTTTTCCCTGTTGGCATGATCAAACTGATCAGTGTTCTCGGGATGTTAACTTTAAAGGTTGGCTTTATCAGCTCTTTGAAAAAAAGCCATGCCAGGCGCCTGGGTGGCTCAGTTGGTTAAGCGACTGCCTTCGGCTCAGGTCATGAGCCCGGAATCCTGGGATCGAGTCCCACATCGGGCTTCCGGCTCAGCGGGGAGCCTGCTTCTCCCTCTGACCCTCCCCCTTCTCATGCTGTTTCTCTCTCACTCGCTCTCTAATAAATAAATAAAATCTTTAAAAAAAAAAAAGAAAGAAAGAAGCCAATTGTTACCATGTTCCTCTATCAGGACACTTGGAGCTTTTCTAGATCCTGGCGTTTTTTCTTCATAAACCAGGTAGGACCGTCATGGATTTGCTTTTGCCTCGCTGCCATCTCTTGTTCCGAGATTTCTAAGAGATGTTAGCGGATGCAGCCTCTTGCCCAGACTGTGTTACAGACTCTTAGGCTGAGTTGCTCACCTGGTGCTTCCCTGGGCTCTTCAGTGATCAGCCTGTCCAAGCTAAGAATGGTTGAGGGCACGTGGAGCACGTTCACTGATGGGGTGGTTGGGTGGTGGTCACGGCAGTGGGGCTGTTTTCATGTTTTGTCTGCCACTCCTTTGTCTGATTCTAAAGAATCTGCAATCAGTTGCAGGGCACCGAAGTCTATGGAAAAAGCAATGGGGGAAGGAAAGCATTGTGGGAGAGTGGAGGCCGGGCAGCTGTCTCTTTCTCCCCTGATTGAGTGTTCTAAGACTGGCTCCTCTAGGGGAAACAGGACTTACCAGAGAGGTGCTTACACTCTCTGAGCCTCAGTTTCCTTGTCTATTAAATGGGTGTAGTAGCACCAACCCACATAGCTGACAAGCGCAGTCATAGCTCTTTTCCCCCACGGGGTCTCAGATTCCTCCTTTACTTTTCTGGCTCTTCACGTATGGATCCAGTTTGTGATCGTCGGTTGCTTAGTTGGGATGGTATGGGGAAAGGTGGCCATTCTTTGGTTGAGGTCAGAGCCAATCTCTTCTAAACGTTACCTTCCTACCAGACATGTTCCTCCAGCACTGTTATCAAAATTGGACAGGACGGTTGTGATGAATGTGTTTTGTGCTAATAGTTGCATTCTTTTTCTCAAAAAAACAAAAAAACAAAAACGAGCAGTTTGACAAGAGACTAAGCAGAGCCTCCAGGAAAATGAGATTCTTTCTTGAGCTCTTGAAAATCCTCCCATAGATCCAGTAAAAGTTCCATATGGGCCTAATTTGGATTGTGTAGTTGAACAAGCCAGCAGCGCCGCCCCCCGCCCCCCCCCGACCCTGCGCCAAACTGGCCAGATCTTAGAGTGGCTCCCCTCCAACCCACCCCCCCCGTCTTCCTCCTGAGCTGCTGCGTGAATCCAGATGCCACCCACCCCATACACCTTTCAGTCTCCTGCTTCCATCTGTGCAGTTTTCGTGGCCCCATCCTTTTTCTTGATACTGCAGTTAGTGGTGAAGACGTGTGGATGGCGATAACTGCCCACAGTGGAGGCCCTGAACTGACTGCTCCTTTTCCTTTTCTTTCTGGGATATGATAGTCACGCCCTGTGCTGATTTGTGCTGCATTAGAAAGTCAGTGATGTGAGTCTGTCCATGTCATCCGTGTGGCACCAACCTCTGGATGGTCATCTATTGCATCGGAAGCTAGTTGACACGGATCGCTAGTCACGTGTCCCTGCCACAGATTAAAACGTGTATGGTGTTTTTCTTTTTCTTTCTAGCTTCTTGAGGCTGATATTGTGGTCTTGGGCTCTCCCAAGCCAGAAGAGATTCCCCTTTCTTGGATACAACCAGGAACTACAGTTCTCAACTGTTCCAATGACTTCCTATCAGGTGGGTAAATGTCTTAAAATTGGTGTTGGGCTGCTGAAGAAAAGAGGTGAGATTGTTATGAGAAACGTGAACCTTATTCAGGAGAGAGGACATCCCTGAAAGGTTGGTCATCGTCAACATCCGTGCACAGGATAGGAAACTCAGAATGTTGATGTGCCTACCTTTTGGGTTACCTGATATTGAAACCATATTGTCAGGCAAAGAGAAGCCAAGATGCCAACCACAGTAGCCACCTCCTGCGCCCACATGCAGACGTGCCCCTGTTGGCCTCTCATGTTGAGCAGTCCAGTCACCTGTGACCTGAAGTAGATAATTTGTCCATGTGTGAGGTACGCTAGAAATAGTGGTTTTCAGTCTCATACAACGAAGCAGAATCTGTTCTCCCAAAGAAACCTTAGGTGAATTTCCACATGTCAAGCAGATGAAAACAGTCGCTGGAAGGGATGGGAACGGAGACCAGCCCTTCTGCGTCTCCCCGATTGCCTCTTGTGTTGACTCCTCAGAAACTTCCCTGGAGCCCCAGAGTTACCTCAGAGCAGTGTGAAAGTCACCATCAGAAACAGAGGTGGGGGCCCCTGGGTGGCTCAGTCGGTTAAGCGGCTGCCTTCGGCTCAGGTCATGATCCCAGGGTCCTGGGATCGAGCCCCACATCGGGCTTCTTGCTCAGCAGGGAGCCTACTTCTCCCTCTGCCTGCCACTCCCCCTGCTTGTGCCCTCTCTCTCTCTCTGTCAAATAAATAAAATCTTTAAAAAAAAGAAAAGAAAGAAACAGAGGTGGTCTGAGGATGGTATTTCACCAAGGGATCCCGGAGTGCCTGGGACCACATGAGACCCACCTTCAAAGGAGCTCAGGCCGTCCCACAGCAGGGCGCTCAGGCGAGGGGCCAGTAGAGCGGGCCCAGAGGGATGCCCTTTTCTCACTCACTGAAAGACACTCTTGAGGCTCAGAAAGCTTTCCACTGTACCTAGCCCACCTTTACAAGTCCCTGAGTAACATGTGTGCAAGAGACCCTCCCTCCCCATTACCTGCAGCCTTCAGATTTCAGCATTGGAGAGGACTATGCTGAGCTGGCGTGGTGTGCGGCATTTTTCCCCAAAGGTGGTCAGAAGTGGAGCCAAAGTAGGTGGAGACTCGGCCCTCTTCCACTTCTGCCAGGACCACACTGGGGTTCTAGATCTTGAAACCTAGACTGCTCTATAGGAGAGTGAAAGAGAGAATAGTATCAGATTGTGTGTGTGTATGTAAAACTTTGATCCAGTCACCTTGAGATAACTATTTTACATTTTTCCACCAAAAATGCACTAAACTTAATTTGATTGGAATGTAATAGAAGGAAAAGAAAACAATGTGATTATAAATGTTACTGAAATTCATATAATAACTGTTTCTTCAAAAAGAAAAATAATGGACCCACCCCTCTAGGAAATGTCCCGCCTCCCATAATTAACCAATCAGATTAAAAACCCTCTGGGGCTGCAGGGGGTGGGGTGGATTGGAGGATGCAAGGGATGATGCTCAGGAATTTCCCAGAATGCTCAGGTAGTTGGCTCTTGGATGAAGAGTACACAGATGAATGAAGGAATTAGAGGTATAATATAATGTGAATATAGGATTCATTGCTCCTTTTAGCAAATAGAAGGCTTGCACTGAATGACCTCTTTGAAGTATATGTAGTTTTGGGGTATAACTTTCTTTTCCCTCCTGAAAAAACCAATGCCTAACCCATAAATGATGGGCATGGCAGATTTGCTCCTCTGCTTAGAATTTAGATTAGGAAAGCCAGTTCTGACTTTATGTTCTTTTAAATGAACGCTTCTTTGCTGTTATATTTACTTGCTGTTTTTTTAAATTAGAGTTTATATATTTAGGACAATTTTGGCATAACCCTGGCTGGTGGGAGAAACTACTTTTTGGAATCCCTTTGAGCCCTATGCTTCAATATATGAAGGTGACAAAATTTTTTTAGTGAAACTGCCTTATTTTAATACATTTGTTTTGAGGACCTTTAGTTTTTTAAAGGCATTCATAAAAACATTCGATTTCAATGCAATGATCCTTCTAGGGGAACAAAAAAGACCAAGGCATTATATTTTGACAGAACAATTATGTAGACTGACTATGGTTAGTTTATTTTAAATGTGTCTGGTCCCGTACTGGTAGTTTTCTTCTTGATTTTTGAATGCCTAATGCCCAAAATAGTACGTGACACAGAGTACATGCTCAGTTAATACTGAGTGTTGAATGAATGAATAAACTTGGACTCAGAATTGTACTGTGATTGCAGTTTTAAGTTAGTTGCAAATATAGAGACATCTCCTTGAACTTGTCTCCTCAAAAATAGGGTTGAGAGGCAAAGAGAAAGATGAAAAATGCTCTACTGATTAAATAGATGAACATTTTGCAGTCAGCATTATTCATAAGAGCACGATATTTCCTGATAGTCAGTTTTAATTTTATTTATTTATTTTTTATTTTTTAGAGAGATTCCCCCCCCTTTTTTTTCAAGATTTTAGTTTTGAGTAATCTCTAAACCCAACATGGGGCTTGAATTTACAACTGTGAGATCAAGAGTCCCACACTGTACGGACTGAGCCAGCCAGGTACCCCAGTCAGTTTTAATTTTAACAAGTTTGATTAGTATGAAAATTTGATCTCTAAATAGATTGAAGAAAGGCTTTTCTCCCTTCTTTTTTGCATAACCTTGCCATCTTAAACAAAGAGACTTTTTAAAGCATTATTAAAAGGAAAGGTGCTTTTATTTCAAAAGAATTCTTAATAAACTGGTGATTGGGTAAAGGCAGGGTTTATAATGAAATTTTCACACTCATCTTAATGGTACAGGGATTCCCGCCCCCCGCCCCCGCCATAAAAATAGATGGGATGCGGTGATTTATAATGAGGTAATTCTATAGAGGCATTTTATTGAATACCTAATCCCAGGAGAGATTTTTCAGATGGCTGATATCCCAGAAGCAGTGCTCAGAAAACAATTACACCTACCTTGTTGGATCTGTTCACTCTTCTGTGGCATGAGTCTAATGTTTAGATTTAAAAGAGGGACATGTATCTTCCCCAAATAGCACTGAATGATACTATGGTGCTTTACTCTGGCATATAAAAATCTGTGAGATGCCAAAGGGAAAATCTGATCTATTGGAAGTGAGTTGAGAAAGTGAATGACTTAATGATTAGGTAATAAATCCTTACCAAGTAAAAATAACTAACTAAAGAGGGATATGTTAATGTTCAGTTTTCTAGCTATAAGAATAATATTTTATTATTAAGTTTCAAATCACAGAAGCTGTGATTTTGTAATGCTCTGCTTGCTAAAGAGCAGAATTCATCCTAAGCAAGACCATTTCACACTCTTAATATTAAGACTTATTTCCTGGGGTGCCTGGGTGGCTCAGTCGTCAGGCGTCTGCCTTCGGCTCAGGTCATGATCCCAGGGTCCTGGGATGGAGCCCCACATCGGGCTCCCTGCTCAGTGGGAAGCCTGCTTCTCCCTCTCCCACTCCCCCTGCTTGTGTTCCCTCTCTCGCTGTGTCTCTCTCTGTCAAATAAATGAATAAAATCTTTTAAAAAAAAAAGACTTATTTCCTGATGTGCCAAATGGGACAAAGGAGAAGCTGGTCTTAAGTCTTGGGCCCAGAGAAGAGTATCAAAACAGCAATTTGTGGGTCAGAGTATTTGACAGCATCATTTTAAGTGAGCATAGGTGTATTTAGTGTGGGGTGCATCTCGGGGTTCATGCTAATGATCTGGGGGATCCTGGGAGGCCTCCAGCTTTCTCTCTTATGGTCCCAAAGGGAGGTAGTATAATTAATGTAGTGGGAAAAGCATGGAATTTAGGTCAGATTGATCTTACTCAAAGAGAAGAGGGAGGTTTTGGTTTTGGTTTTGGTTTTCTCTTAATTGCATCGTATTTACAAGCTGTGTGACTTTAAGCAAATAACTTAAGCTCTCTGATCTTCAGTTTCTTTGTGGGTAAGGTGGGAACAAGGCTCTTGAGAGGAATAAATGAACTCTTGCCTCACAGCACCTCTTTCTTAGGAGCTGCCACCCAGTGGCTCTCCTCCCCCCTCCCTCCACTTCATTGTCCTCACACCTCTAGCATACAGAATAGCTGTAGACTTCATATTAGCAAAATGTTAAGTCTGTATTTGAAAATCAAGCCCAGGGAAGGACTCTTCCCAGTGAGTTTCTGAGAATGTAAGAAGGTTAGAGACCTTAGACACGCATGTAATAAGGTTGTTATCTTCGTGCACTTGGAATAAAATAAGGGTATTTGCTTATAAATTTTGAACTCCAATTATTCTAAAATCTGTTATATCTATTACCTGTTTCCCTTACCTTTTTTTTCCAGGAAATTCTGGAAGATTTGGACTTAGATGTTATTGCCGGGTTTCATTTCAAATTTTAACTAGTTCTCAGTATAACACATTTAATGTTCTGACTTTTTTAAAAAGTCTCAAGCTGTTTAGAATATACAGCTATGTGTTCATTCCTTCCTACTTCGGTATCAGTGATTTCAAAAGGGCTGTTTATATAAGTTGATACTAATATTTTAGCTATATTTCTTTTTTGGAAGATTCTTACATTATATTCTGTTTAAAAAATAGTAAGACATTGTTATTTGATAGTGGAATTCAGATGTTTTAAGCTAGGAGTTCAATCCTTGCGAGCATTATTACAAACATTATATTAAGATTTCATTTACTGCATTTTACTGTTATCCTGTAAGATGAATATATTTAACTTAAAACTAATGGCCAGTGATTTTGAAAGTGTTATCTGTACTGATTTGTAATTTTTTAGCTTTTCCTGTTTTAAAAATTTCACATAAAGTTTTTTTGATTTCCTTGTTCTCCCAGAGGATGAGAAAATATTTGAGAGTTCAATCTATGGGTTCATACAGCACTTTTGTGATAAGAAGGGTACCCTGGGCCAGACTGCAGAAAGCTGAAACGTTTCCATGTAGCAGAGATAGCAGGAAGACCGAAGAAGAATTTGCGTTGGTCCCTCCCATTTCATTTCTGGCAAAATTCCCAGGGTGGTCTCAAAACAGCTTCTGTCAGGGAAAGCACGGTTCTGATTTCCAGGGAAAGCAATATGACACGTTAGCCTTAAATTTTCTTGTTGTAGCAAGTTTGGTTAGCAAGAAAAAATTATAAATGAAAGGCCATCTTTTAAAGTGATTCATTGACCTGTGCTTGGAAGAACCACAAGTTAATGAGGAGTGTTTAGTGGGAAGTGAAAAGACCCATTTGGTTTGGGACGGGACCCCTGGGACCCCTGCCGGACTCGCAGGCTGAGTGCAGACAGCCTTGGCAGGCCGAGTGTAGACAGCCTCCGGATGGAGCCCTGCCTGTACACAGGCAGAGGGGTGAGGTAATGATTTCCTTTCTAGATTCTCTTTAGCCATGAAATTTGTTAAGAATGTTATTCCTGATGCACTGAGTTACCATCTTCATTGCTTCAAGTTCTCTGGGTTCAGAACTTTTTAACCAGGTCATCCCTAATATTAATATCGTAAAATACAGTTTCTCAGTTTCTATGGAAGAATGGTCATATCACTTTGATGGCAGGGTACTTGTGATTCTGTCCTGGGAATGTGCATTGATAAATTGATACCAGCTCCTGGCATGTAGCTTTTTCTTATTTCCTCATCATTTAAAGATAGAGATAAAAATGAGAGAAGCATATTTCTTTTCCATAATGGTTGGACAAGACCTTTAGATCAGATCTCTAGTGGTTCAAACAAAACAAAACAAATCTCATTCTCTAGACTCTTGGCTTTTGCCTAAATATGATTTATAAAACTGTGAAGTGTTGCTAATCTTGAAATGATACCGGAGGGATATGATTTTCCAACACCCTTAATACATTTGACTATAGAACATCGCAAAACACTTACTCTTAAGTGTTTTGTGCTCTTTCTTGCAAAGGACTGTCAGCAAAATGGATAATTTAAAAATAGCGTGGTCCAAACTAGAGGAAAATAGTTTCTTAATTCAAAAAAGTTGCTATTAGAAATGTTTCTTTTCTCTAAGGGAGGATATAAACTAAAACATTTTACATGTGTGCTTACTTTTCATAACCTCTGTAAGTGCCAACTGAAGAAGGGGGTAGAATCCTTCCACATGCCTCTGTAGTTTGAAAACCAGGTCATCCCTAAGATTAATGTCCTAAAACACAATTTCTCAGTTCCTATGGAAAATTGGTCTTTTCACTTTTATGATGGGGATTTTTAAAGTTATCAAAGACAGCCTGATCTTTCACACAGCACTTTGCGATTATGCTGTGTTTGAGTCCCCCTTCCTATACTTTGTATACATAAGTGAAACTGCTTTTATTTCATATGAATCATTTAAACATAGACGTTAGATGCCTAGGACTTTGGTGTCACATTCAATTCTCACAGACTTGCGTGGGGTTGTAACTACCTACAGTAGTTAACAGGCCCAAAGTCACAGTCGCCGATTAGAAGTAGAAGCACGATTTTTACCCAGTCTTGACTCTAAAGTCAGTCAAGAGCCCCAAGGCTGTGCCGGGGACTGGTGACCCACCTGGAGCTGTGCATGACAGCCTAAGTCCCTTGGCTGAAAAGGAGAACATCACTCAGTGTGCTGGCTTTTTACTAGGAGCAATTGGTTGTAAATGACAGTATCCTGAAAGTCTGTTGTTTTTTCCCCTCACATTTTTTCTAGGGAAGCTTGGACATGGTTCTCTTGGGGTACATCTTCATGGTCTCATTGCAGAGAATGATGTCAGTCTCCTTGCTGCAGCTCTGCGGATTCAGGTTGGTTTGACGCAGCTCTTTGAGAATTTTTGAGTTGAGAGCTTTGATGAATAGTTGCCAACATTTTGCAAGTGTTTTCTGTTGAGCAGACACAGTATTAAGCACCTTACCCACATAATGTCATTTAATTCTTACAACAGCCCTGGAAGATAATGTCATTCCCATTTGGTAGATAAGGCCTTTGGTGACATGACAAGTGTGGGATGGGGACCCAAATCAGGGTCTGTTGTTAGTTATCGATTGCTGTGGAATAAATTATCCCTCAAATTTTGCAACCTAGGACAATAAACATTTATTATCTCACAGTGATTGTGGATCAGAGATTTGGGAACAGCTCAGCTGTATGGTTTTGGCTCAGGGTCTCTCATGCAGTTGAAATCAGGAGGTCAGCAGAAGGCTTTACTGGGGCCAGAGCCTCCCGCTTCCAAGATGGCTCACTCACATGGCTGTTGGGAAGATGCCTTAGACCCTCACCATGCAGACTTCTCAGTAGAGCTGCTCATGATAGGAGCAGCTAACCTCCCCCAGAATGAGTGATCCAAAGGAGAAGGCAAGGAGGAAGCCGCAGTAGGTTTTATGACCTAGCTGTCAAAGTCAGCCACCACCATTTACCTGTTTCCTCTTTGCTAGAAGCGAGCCACCAATCTAGTTCACATTCAGGGGAAAGGGAATCGGGCTCACCTTTCAAAGACAGGAGTATTAAAGATTGCGGACTGCTTTTCAAACCACAACCATCTATATGACCCAAAGCCCAAGATCTCCAGCTCGCCACCGTGCGAGCTATGCATTCTGCTGGCAGTGACCTTGACTATCAGGAGAGAAACCGGAGCCTATAATTCCAGCCACACTGGAATTAAGCAAAAGCACGTTTTAGTTTCTTTCTTACGTACATGGTATATACGATGAAAACTTCTTACTTCCAGGGGCGTCTGGCTGGCTCATTCGGTAGAGCATGCGACTCTTGATCTCAGGGCCGTGAGTTCAAGCCCCACGATGGGCATGGCGCTCACTAAAAATGAAGAAATAAATAAACTGACCCCCCCTTTAAAAAAATAAAAATAAATAAAACTTGTTACTTCCAAATGGGATATGATACCTTTCTGTAAGGACTGTGTCACATTTCAACCTAAGCCAAATATTATTTCTCTGGCTCTCTTTGTGTATCACCATTTAACAATTCAGTGCTCTTGTTCTATTACATCAACTGTACAAGGATCATACTTGAAATGGTGTTGCAGAGTTTGGAAGCTGGGCATCCAAGCTGATCATTCATGCATTCTCACATTTCCCTCATTTTTTCTCTTCTGAGATGGAGAACCCACTTTTATTCTAGGACTTGACGACTTTAGTGAACACTTAACCTATTTTAAAAGTACCTGTATCTCACATTTTCCTTTTTAAGACAAAACCTACAATGCTAATTACATGTGAACAAAGGTGTTCCTGATACTCACTTGGGTTATTTTGCAACTCTAATCCTTTTCATGACATAACATCCCTGAACAGTATCTTCATAGTTTAGATACATACCCTGTCAGCCTTTACTTGGATAACATGCTTTCCTTTCTGTCCCTTGAAGAACATGGTCAGCAGTGGAAGGAGATGGCTACGTGAACAGCAGCATGCAAGGTGGAGACTTCACTGCTTGAAACTCCAGCCTCTCTCCCCCGTGCCAAGGTATCCGCCAGAATTGTTTGTCGTGACATCAGGGCACCAAAGTGCCTCAGATATCCAAAGTTACCCATTGGGTGGGGACACACTTCATGGTATTATGGCTTTGATGGTGGATAATTTTCTCTAATCACATTGCTGCACTATTTATTCTATTGTTTAAGCCCTAAAAATTAAATAGTAATGAACATGTGTACCATATTCTGTCAGTTCTAGGGTGTATATTTCTTTCATTTCTGAAGTCAGGATGTCCCTTACTGTTGATGTATCCTGCATTAAATGGCATTGTTTTTTCTTCTTAGTGGTCTATAACATAATGCTGTCTTCTATTTGACAAAATACAGTAATATGATGTTTGGAATATGCTTTCCAGTGTTAGAAATGCCCAATTCATCTGTCAGCTTGGTCTTCACAGCCACGTAGGTGTCTACGCTGGGGGCATATGCCCAACCAAACCAAACCCCATTCTATGTGGGAAGTGAGTTTAGCTTTCCTCAGAACATAGTAATATCTACTATCTGACAGGGTATGCTGTGATATTCCAGATGGATATTTTCTTCAGAGTAGCATTTAATGAAGTGCAAGCTATATATTCTCTGCATAAATTTGGAAATATATACTGCAGGAATAATTCATTAGATAAGATACCAGAGCCAGAGGCAAACTGAGGGTTTTAGAGGGGAGGGGAGTGGGGGGATGGGTTAGCCTGGTGATGGGTATTAAAGAGGGCACGTCTTGAATGGAGCACTGG